CCAGCCTAGCCTCTGGGTCCTAGCCCACACCTAGTCCTCCCATCATGGGCTTCCCAGCACCCTTGTCCTAGGGTCCTGAGCTAGAAAAGTCAGTGTAATGACTATAGCATCTGTGTTAGTTACTCTTTCATTGCTGTGACCAAAACTGCCAGAAACAATTCTGGGGACAACAGCTTTGGCTCTGCTCACAGTGTCAAGGATCTTAGTGTGTCACAGGGAAGGCATGGCAGCGTTCACGGAGGCAGAGATGTTCACATGGGGTGGATAAGGAAGCAGAGAGAACAAGCCAGAGCCAGGCCCAGGCCGTAACCTTCAAAGACAAGCGCCATTTAGCTTAGTTCCACCATCGAGGCCCCGCCCCTACAGGTGCCACAACCCTCCAAACAGCACCATTACCATAGATAATCAACAGATAATGCCTGTTGGGGACATTTTAGTCTAAACCCTACCACCAATCACTGCTTTCCTAGTCCAGAGTTAGACATAATGCTTTATACTTATTTATTTTTAAAAGCAAATATTTTAGTTTTAGTTGTTTTTAAGCATATATGCAACCTCTTAGGATTTTTCTTTTAATACTGCATTGCTAAGATGTGTTCACAGTGTTGCTTCTTGCTGTCCCCTTTTGACCGTTCCATGCAAGTCCGTTGGCTGTTTCACTGATTAGGCAGGCATCGGGTTGCTCCTGTCATCAACTGTACTATTTTAACCTTCTCATACGTGTCTCCCACATACACGTGGACAAGTTTCTCTTGATATATACCTAGGAGTATACAACTGTTGGGCTGTAAGTGGTGAATGTTCACCTTGAGGGGAAAAATCCCAAACACCTTCAAAAAAAAAAAGCCATACTCTAAAGCAAAAGCATTTCACATTTTCAATGTTTAAAACCTTCCCTGGTGTCACAGTGTCACAGACACCTATAATCCCAGCTCCTCGGGAGGCCGAGGAAGGAAGGTAGAGTGTTCAAGGCCAGACTGGCAGTTAATTTTGATCTTGTATCAAAATTGAAAGTAAAAAGAGGGCTGGGGGTGGGGGGAGGAGGCTGGAGAGATGGCTCAGAGGTTAAGAGCACTGGCTGCTCTTCCAGGGGTCCTGAGTTCAATTCCCAGCAACCACATGGTGGCTCACAACCATCCGTTATGAGACCTGGTGCCCTCTTCTGGTGTGCAGGCATGCACGCAGACGGAACCCTGTATACATAATAAATAAATAAATAAATAAATCTTTAAAAAAAAAAAAAGAGGGCTGGGATGTAGCCCAGTGATAGTGCATTTGTCTATCGTACACGACACCCTGGGTTCAGTTCCCAGGGCGGGAAACCAAAATAACCGTTCTTGGATTCTCATCCAAGCCTGCACACCCCGTCTTCTTTGCAGCCCTAACCAATGCAGGGCGACAAGCCTGGTTTCCGTAGACTCCGTGGAACGCCACATTCATCCCTCTTCCCACCCCACCCTCTTCTCTACAGCCCAAACAGGTTCAGGGTAAACAGCCTGACTCTTCCCTTCCCCAGGCTGCCATTAAGAAAGAGCTGCTAGACTTAGTTGACTTCCAAACCCATTGGAGAGGTCGGGTCACTCTGTACAGGGGAGGCCTTTCCCTCTGTGGGGAGCAGATGGGAGGTGGGGGAAGGGAGTGGGGGCAGCGGGAGGAGAGGAGGGAGGGGGCACTGGGATTGGAATGTAAAAAATAAATTAATAAAATTAACAAATAAGCCTGCGGTGATGGCGCACGCCTTTAATCCCAGCACTCGGGAGGCAGAGGCAGGGGGATCTCTGTGAGTTCAAGACCAGCCTGGTCTACAAGAGCTGGACAGTCTCCAAAGCCACAGAGAAACCCTGTCTCGAAAAAACAAAACAAAACAACACAAAACAAAAATTAAATAAACAAATGAAAGGAAGGAAGGAAGGAAGAAAGAAAGAAAGAAAGAAAGAAAGAAAGAAAGAAAGAAAGAAAGAAAGAACTGTTAGGTTAGGTCCCGTGGACATATGCCCAGTGCTGCCTGGCCCTGCTGCTTTGTTGGGTACACACTGTCTCTGGAAACCTGGCTGTTCTCTGGCATGTCCCTCCAGTAAGCCCCACAGAAGGGATGCGGCACAGGAAGGGGCCTCATCTCCTAAATAATGCTCCACAAGTCATTAAATTAACGTGCTCATCATAATGGCAGCTATTTTTTTTCTTTTTACCAGAACCCATTGGAGGGGTGGGAT